CATTAAAATTCAGATAAAAATCATTAAAAATCAAATAAAAATAAGCAGAAAGAAGAAAGAAAAGACAATAAATGAAATAAAACAAAATAAAATGAGTTATTCACAAAACAAGAAGAAAATCTAAATAATAAATAAAACAAATAAAATATTCATTTTAATAATGTATGAAGGGATTAATATCTTCTGATCTAGGAATAATAGATACAATTTCTATTAATATTTAATTATCTAATGTTTATTTATATTTCCTCCTTTCTTATTTTTGCAAATTAACAAAAAAAAAATAATCAATAAATCTAAAATTCATTAAGACTAAATGGTTATTCAAAATGGAATGAGGCATATCTTGAACTATCATATTTAAGTCCATTCCTTTTTACAGTTTTTCTTGCCTTTTTAGTTTTCTTAATTTTCTTTTCTAATTCATCACTTTCATCTTGTTGTGTATCAGTTTCAGTAGTTTGAGTTTCTTTAGTTTGAGAGTCATCACTATCTTCTTCTTCTGGCATTTTTGTTTCTGACTTAATAACAGCACACCTTGTCTTTATGGGTTGAGTTTCTTCAACGTTTTCTTTAGATTCACAAAGTTGTATAGCTGCAAAGAAATGTCTTATTACATACTGAACACTTTGAATAAAATCATAAGTCGAATGTAAACAACATACATCAGAAGTATTCATATGTAGTTTACATGAATCACACTCTTTTAATGTAATAGACTTTAGTACATTTTGAAAAACACTTACTTTTGGAGTTACAACTACATGTCGTTGAGCTAATTTAACTAATAGCTCTTTCTCAAATTCTACTAAAGACCTTGACAAGAAATGAGTAATAAATAATGTTGGAATTAGTTTAGTAAGTTTTCCAACAAGACAAACAACAATTGTATCTTTATTTTTTGTAATAAAATCAATATATTCATTCATTTTATCAATGCTTAAATCGTTTGTAAGGTCATGAGATTCAAAATATTCATTTATTCTTTCACAAGAAGGAGAGTAATAAAAATTATCGTTGAAAGGTTTAAGATAAAATACTTGTTGATCTATTATTTGTAACTGAGACAAATCAAACATTGTAAACGCTACTTCTAATGGTGATCCATCTGAATACGATGTTGTATTAACAAATAAAATATTTGTTTTTAAAGTCCAGACACTTTTAACAAATCTAACTGATGGTAATGTATCACTTCCGATAATTGTTGCTCCATAACTTTTCATACAAATCAATTCCATTAATGAAGTGTGACGTGCATCTGATAATGCACAATGATATTTTTGGTTAATTTTTTTATGATATTCACAACGTTCTGCACATTCTAATTGTTTAAAAATATGATTTAATATAAATGAAGGTTTTTCATGAAGTTCAATATGTTGAATAGAACACCAATAATCAAATAATTGGATATGAGTAATAAATCGAATTTGTTTTGGAATTGGAACATTTCCACGTAAAAAAATTTCATCAATACATTTTTTATCTCCTGCTAGTGATTCTTCTTTTGATACAAAGAATGCAAATCCTGGAAATTGTTCAATATATTTTATTAATTCAATACATACTAAAGAATAGTTTTGTTCTAATCTAGGATCACGAGCATCAATCCCATGTATCATTTGAGTTCGGGCAAATATATTTTTAAATTTTCCTGGATATAATAATTTATGATATGAAGCTATTTCTTTATTCTCCTTTAATGAATAACTTGATATACCAATTTCAATAGGAAAAATCTTCTCTGAAAATTGAGCTGCATACTCAAAATCATAAAAATGAAATACTCCATTTTCTAATGTCTGGGCTAAGTCTTTTATTAAACTTACTTTAACATTTCTTGTTTGGTTTGGCTTTTTATTTTTCTTGACTATTTCTTTTGTTTGTTTTGGAGAAGAAGTAACGTGAAGACAACGAGGGTTATAAGACATGTAAAGAAGAAATAATTAAACTCAGAGATTTTAGCAACAAAATTTGAAAATTTAAAAAGAAAAAAGAAAAAAGTAATAGTATATAAAAATAGTAAAAAAATAATAATAGTATAATATTAGCATCTCATATTAAAATCTCATTGTTATTTTAACTTGAAGTACTTTTATGATTCAACTCAAATTACCACCAATTCAATTACCTACAATTATTATTACAAATACTATTAAACACACTCCATTTCAAACTAGAAAAATTAATGTCAAAACAATTGAAGAAAATAAAAGAGAAGAGTTAATGAAAGAATATTATATAATTTACCAAGAAATAGATGAAATTGAACGTTATAATAATAATGGTTATATTGAATATGATAAATACAAAGAAATAATTACTCAATTACTTCATAGTCTTAATACTCTTAAAGAGAATAGATTTGCTGTTGGAATTGACAGTAGAATGAAAGATTTTATTAATGATTTAGTTCTCGCAAAAAAAAGAGTAGAGAAAGGAGTTCCAAATAGTTGTAGTAAAATTAATTTGGTAATGTCATTAATAAAAGCACCTAAACAATGGAATGATCTAATGGAATTCCAGAAATATTTATTCAAATTACTTCATGCCACATCAGATTTTAACCTTGAAGGAATACAGTCTATTCATGATAAAATTAATTTCTTAATCTCTTTACAAAAAATACCTCCTATTGATACTATTAGTCAAATAGAACAAGAATTATTTAATCTTATTCAAAAGAATTCAATTTAAACTTAATTTATTTGTTTATTTTTCTCTTTAATTCTATCTCCAAAAACAAAACTTACAATACAATAAATGAAAAAAGTAATAATTCAATAATAAAAGAATAAGAAATTAATATCAATCTAGTAATTTAAGTGATAGAAGAATAGCTGAAAATAAATATTGTCGGTATGAATAGAAATGCATTAATAGTATAGTAAATATTATCATAACAATTACTCTAATAATGTTATGAAGTATTCAACTCAGCTTCATTATCATAAATATTTTAACAACAATTCTAATAGACATAATAGAAAGTATCATAATTTAACAAAAACAATATCAAATTTACAAAAATAAACAGAAAAAAGACATATAAAAACAAAAGAAAAAGAATTTCAGAAATAATAAAAGACAATATAAAATGATCCAATTAATAGAATGAAGAAAATATTTAGTGAGAAGGACTTAATAGGTCAATGAGTCCAATTAAATAAAATGAAAGAAAAATGATGGAAATAATGTATTTGAATAGGCAGCAATTAAATTAAATGGAAATTACGACAAAATAAAATTATTAATTATATAAAAATAATTATTGTAATTAATCTAAATGGTTTAATACACAAAGAATTAATAAAAATATTACAATTACAAAAAATTACAATTAGATTTTAATAAAATAATTTAAATACTCCCTATTAAAAAATGAAAAATCAAATATTTTACTATTAAGCTCTGACAATATATTAGAAGATGAGCTTTCTAATGAGATATTTTAAAAAGTAATAATAATAACAATAATATTTTAATTAGAGTGTATCAAATTCATTCAAATAGTTATTTCTTAGTTATATGTTCTATATAATCCAATGACTTTTTTAAATAGATAATATTCATCATTTTTTTATTTTGATAAATACTTCTAATCTTTATTCTTTTAATTTATTTAGTTTTATACAATTAGATTAATAATTATTTATAATTTTTTGTAAAGACAAGTTAGTTAATAGTTATTTAGATATCATCTTTTCATTATTATTTAATATCATCGTTTCTGAAAATAAATTTATATTTGTATATTTTCTTTGTTCCAAATAAATCCAACTCAATTGATTAGTCAATGAACTAAGCTTTTTTATTAAAAGTGTGTTATATCATTCGTTTGGCTAAAAATATAACCCAAGAATATATTAATGGTATAAATGAAATATACCCTTCTATCACAACATTCAAAACATCCAATTTATTATCTTACTAAATTGCTTAATATTATTATTTTTAAATTATGTAAATATTCCATTGATAAGAAAGGAATTTGTTTTGTTTCTAATTTGATGGACTAAGAATGGATTTGCCATTTATTCTAATTTTAGTCAAAAATACTTTACTTTATTAAAAATACATTTAATTAGAATAAATAAATAACTTCTTAAAACTGTAGTTTCTTCATGGATGTATTGTTAAATTAAGATAATAAAAACAATTTCATTTATTTTATAACAATTTTATAGAATTAGAAACAGAACAATTAATATTGTAAAAATTTGAAACCAATTGTGATTTGTTTTAGTATTTTTTTGTATCTTTAACAATTCAAAAGTGTTGAGAACTTATTAAATTCACTTTTATTGAATAAACGTGTTATTGTTACATGAATAAAAAAAATAAATTAATATCATGTACTGATGAAATATAAAAAGTAATTTTTATAAATTACTTTACATTATTACATTCTTATTATATCGTTAAAACAAAGTTGTAAATACAATAGAGTTGTTTGTTGAGTAAGAAGAATATTAATGACAGAATCATAACACACAAATAAAAAATCAACTTTAACAAAAAATGAAAGGGATTAAAATAAAGAAATAAAAAATCAAATTTATGAAATATAAAAAACAAAATAGAAATTTCACAAATTGTAACAAGATAAAAATTAAAAAATCAAAAATAAAGATCAAATTCATATTAACTTCACTATTTTTGGATTTAGGTTTTTCTCTTAAATTTATTCTTTCTAAAAGAAGTAATTAAAAAAAGATGAAAAATTAAAAATTAAAAGAAAAAGAATTCAAAAATCATATTTTTAATGAAAGGAATTTTCTTCCTTCTATGCATCCTTCTTGTTCTTAATTCTTTTGCTTTGTCGTTTAATGATGATTATTCAGACTTTTTAGATGATGCCCCTTCTCCAAAAAATTCAAAGAAAACACAAAGACCTAAATCGAATAGTAAGGCATCTACTAAACCAGTTAACACACCAAAAAATAATCAAAGAGTAAAACAAAATAAGAACACACAAGCATCACAACCAAAAAGAACAATTCAAACTACTACAAAAACACCAACTGTAGCTTCTAAACAAAGAAAGCAATTAGTTCAAGTAACTACTGATAAGAATGGTAAGAAGACTGCTACTGTTTCAAAGAATTTAAATCCAAACACTAAAGTCTCTGGATCGGTAAGTGCTCAAAAAACTCCAAATGGTATTACTGCTGGTGTTTCTGGAAATATTAACTACAACAAAGGTCCTATAACAGCAACAGCGAAAACTGGATATCAAACTTCTCCTCAAGGACAAAGTTACGGTGCTTCTGTTAATGGCAAATACAGTAAAAATGGTGTTAATGTTAATGGAAATGCTTATTATGGTAAACAAAACGGTGTCAATAAAGCTGGTGCCAACATAAATGCCTCTTATGATAGTAAAAAAGTTCAGGCTAATGCAAATGCAGGAATTAATAAAGATGGTAGTTCTAAAACCACAAGTGCTAGTGCCAGTGCTACATATAAACCAAATGATAAGACTACAATATCTGCTGATGGTAAAGTTTCAAAAACTAACGGACAAACTACTATTCAAGGTAATGCAAATGCTTCATACAATGGCAACAAGGTACAAGCTAATGCTGGTGTTAATTTTAATAAAGATGGTAGTTCTAAAACCACAAGTGCTAGTGCCAGTGCTACATATAAACCAAATGACAAAACTACAATATCTGCCGATGGTAAAATTACTAATACTAATGGACAAAAAACATATGAAGTAAATGGGAAAGCAAATTACAATGGAGATAAATTACAAGCAAATTTAAATGCACAAGCTAAGAATGATGGAACAAATAAAGTTAGTTCTATTAGTGGTGATGCTACATATACTAATGGTGGATTAACAGCTAAAGTTGATGGAAATATGGCTAATACTAATGGTGAAAAGAGTAATGAAATACATGGCTCTCTTAATTACAAAAGTAAAGATGGTAAATTTGATGGATCACTTGACGCAAAACGTTCTAAGAATAGTAATGGTGTTTCTCGTTCAGCAAGTGCTACAGGAACATATAAAGTCAATGAACATTCAACATTGAGTAGTAGTGGATCAGTTAAATCAACTCCAGATGGCAGAAGTAATACATTCTCTAGTCAATTAGATTATAAAGCAAATAAATTTACTGGGTCATTAGACTTAAAACACACAAAAGATGCTAATGGAATAAAGACTAATTCTGCTGGAATTAGTGCCCAGTTTAACCCAAATGATCAGTTTGGGGCTAGTTTAGGAGGTAGAGTAAGTAACATTAATGGAAAAAGGAACTTTGGTTTAGAAGCAAAGTTAAACTATAACCCAGATGAGAACAAGAAGTTTTATGCCTCATTTATAAAAGACCAAACAAATAATAATAATATGCTTGGGCTTGGAGGAAGTTATAAAAGTAATGATGGTAAGTTAAGTGCTAATGCTGATTTTTCCTTGAGTAAAAATGCTCAGAATATGAATGGACAAATTAGTTACTCACCAACGACTAATACACAAATCTCAGCTAATGGAATGTACACCAAGTTAAATAATGATAAGAACTGGAGTTATGGAATTAAAGCCCAACATCAGTTTAATGATAAATGGTCTGCTAGTGCCGAAGTAACCAAGTCATCAAAGAATGGTTTGGGGTATAATGCAGAAGTTAATTATGGCATTGGGAAGAATTCATATCTTAGTTTAACTGCAGGTAAATCAGCTGATAAAGGTGGATATGTTGGAGCTGGTTTTAAATTGGATTTCTAAATTTAACAGAAATATAAGTGTTTTTGGTTGGTTTTTCTTTAAATAAAAATAATTTTTCATAAATTATTATTAATTTAAATTTAGTTTTTACTTGAGTTATTAAAGAATAAATAACATTAATACTTCAAATAATATGCTACTTTTTAATTACAATTAATTTGTGTTATTTCTCATCAAAGTATAATCAGATGAATTAACTCATTAGGAATAAAATAATAAAGGATATAAAGTATAATTTTATTTATTAGTATTAATTTAGTTATTATTTAATTAAGCCATATTTGTAAATAAGTTTAACAACAGTATTAATAGAGGAGTGTATTATCTATTTGATTTATAAAGAATTATTATATTAGAGATATAAAAAGGAATTGAGTACATTATGATAAGGTTATATTTATTTTTTGACTAAAATAATAATAAACTAAAATCAGTAATATTTAAAAATACAATTAGTATTGATAAATGATGAACAGTTTCTTTCAATACCTTTAGGTATTTTTAATTTAGTCAATGAATAACAATTGAAAAAACAACAAGAACCTATTTTTGTAATAGTAGAAGGTATTTCTAATATACTTAAATTAATACATTGTTCAAAACAAGAATTGTTAAATTGAGTAATTGCAAAAGATTTTGACTTTGGATAGAAGAATATTTGTTGAAGTGAAGTACATTTAAAAAAACAATATGAAGGAAGTTCTTTGATAAGTGCAGATATTGTAACTGAAGTTAATTGATAATTATATGAGAAACAATATGTATTAAGTGTAAGAATAGTACTTGGAAGGTTTAGTTCCTTTAAATAAGGACATTTAGAAAGTGAATTAGAACCAATATTTCTTAGAGTAGAACCAAAAGATATTGTTTGTGAATTATAATATTCAAGACTATCATTTTCTAATGAATGACACGATTCTTTTAATAATTTACCAAACTTAAAACAATCTTCTTCAGAATAACTTATATTTTTAAAAGAAATTGATGAATAAAAACGTTTATAATAAAGATATTGTGAATAACTTATTTTAAAAGAAATAACAATATTTTTTACTTGATTCATTAAATATTCATTAATATCATTTTGGTTATAAAGAAATAATGTTTTAATGGATGGAAAAAGATTAAGAGATGAAATAGAAATAGGATTAAATAAATACATTTCATTAATTCTTTTAAATCTTGAATTTGTCATTATTAAATTAATATAATCTTTTTTTGTTTTAAAATATTTACCAACAATCATCATTGAATAATTATCAATTTTTTTCCTGTTATTCATTTCTGTTCTTTCTTTTTATTTTTTATTAGTTTCAAAGAGAATAAAATCTTTATTCTTATTTATATGATTTGTTATTTTAAATTAAACTGGATTATGTTTTAATACTTCATTTTATTTATCTTTTTTTTACTTTTAGATATTACTTCTTTACTGTTTCTCACTTATTATTTTCTTCAATTCTCCTCAAAAAAAGGAATTTGAAAATATCATAAATCAAATCTTTTTAAACAATAAATTCATTAAATTAGGTTTCAAGACAAATACCTTCTTCTTATTATTCATTTGAAACTACACTATCCCACTCACTCTCTAAAAAGATTAGTTGTTCTGATACATCTATATCCTATGTCTGCCAGAATGAAAATAAATTCTTTTTAATAATTTAAAGAAAATGATTTTTTGTTTCTACAAAAGATAAAGAAAAAATTAATATAAATTAAATAAAGAATAAAATACTGAACAATTTTTAAACCTTGTGAGAAAAAAAAGAGAAAAGAATTATAAAATTAGTATTTTTATTTAATAATATTTTTCAAGTGCTATTATTATTATATGAAGAAAGAAAACATTTTAAATTTTTATAAATCATTCTCTTTTTTTAAACTAACCATAATTAAATAATAATTTAATTTTTGATTGAAATAACTGGAAATAGATTATATAAAAAATTTTATATTGAAACAATTGATATTAAATTATTTGGTAATTCCTTTTTTATTATTTTATTATTCTTTTTTGGTATTCATAAGAAAATATCTATAATTTTAAACAGAAATAATAATAAAATGAAAGAATTGGTTTTATAATTCATCAAAACTATTACAGTCTTTTTTCTTTAGTTCTTCTTTTTGCTCATGGTGATAATGGTATGATGTAAGTGGTTTTTGATAATAATTTTTATTTCTCCTGTTTTGTTCTTCAATCATTGCTTGAAATAATTCCTCTGCTCTTTCATTAATCTTTTCTTCAATTTCAGCTTCAGTCCAAACAGAAGGAGGTTGTTGTGTGTTTTCAAAAGTCATGGAAATGAAATGAAAAAAAATCTTTTTTGATAACTTTTAAAAATTTTTATTATGAAAAGATAATAAAAAATCTGAAATGAATAGATTTTTTCTTGTCTCAATTTTCTTTTATGAGATTATAATTATATCAGTCTTATAAATAAAACATAAAATTATAATTAACTCATCTTTTTCTAATAAGAAAACTAATAGATATAGAAAATATGTGTTAAATCTATTAAAGGAATGAAGAAGAAATATAATTTAAATAAAACTAACTTAATTTACGATTTTATTTTTTAAGATAACAAAATAAGAAGATAATTGTTTAGTAAAAGAAAAATAAAATATGATTGATTAATAAAAAACCAATAAATTAAAAAGAAATGATGAATGATCAATAATTTATCTCATTGAATTAACAAATGAACAAAATTGTCCCCAAGCTGTTCCATCATCAAGAAGAGCTCTAGTCATTCTTAAATAAGTGAATGAAATAAGTCCATTACTCTTAGCTTGTTTTACAATTTGACTAAATCCATTAGTATTACATCCTCCATATCCACATAATTCAAGTGCATTTTCTCCACATTTTCCAATTCCAGCTGATCCAGCAGCTTTATAAGCTTGAGAAACAAGATTAGCAGGTGTAGAACCACAATTTCCATCAGTTCCACTCATTTCAAGACAAGTAAAATCAAATCTAGCTCCAGATTTTTTAAATACATTAGCAATATTAGCATATGCATTTTGATTATTTGTATTATAATAACCAGCAGTTAACTCAGCAGCATGTGATTGATCATTATACCACCAATGAATACCTGCAACTTTACCTGCAATAGCTAAATTACCAAAAACTGATTTAGCAGCAGAAAGAACATTATTAGCGTGATCAAGAAGGAGTTGTTGGTACCATCCAAGGAAGAATTTACCATAAGCACTTTTATAATTATCATTTCCATTTCCAAAGAATCCTGTTGATGAGGGTGGTTTAGAATTATAATTTCCTGCATTTGATGGAGATGCATGTCCCCATTCTGAATGTCCAGCATTTGATGCTGCAGAAGCTAATTTAGAAAGAGAGTTTTTATCAGAACATTGGAATTCACCAACACCACAATAAGACCAACGAGATAGAGGATAAGAAGGATATCGAGTTTCACCACAAGGTCCCATTCCTACTTGAATTTCATTAATAGTTCCATCATTAATATAACAAGAAAAGGTTGATTTAAATGAAGACATAAAATCTTTATACATTTGAAGTGGTGTTCTACCTTGGAAAATAGACATTGAATCAGCAGAGAAAGCAATATATTCATCATTCTTATTTCCTTGTGGATCTTTAAAGAATGCATCATGAGATGAACCAGCATTTCTTACCCATTGTGGAATTGGGATATTCACTGAATCTCCAACATTTCCTCCACACTTATGGAAGGACATGACAGCTTGGAATTTTAATCCAGTTTCTTTACAAAGAGCAATAAGTTCTTTATATCCATTCCAATTATAACTTTTTGGTGATGTCTCTACAAGTCCCCACCAAACATCTCCCATAACACCAGCAACTCCACCAGATTTTAATTTACTAAAGTCTTTTTTAAGTTGATTTTTATTATTTAAACCATTTGATGTTACTACGTCAAGTGGTAACATTACATTAACTTCAACAGCAAAAGCTATTGATATAAAACATAGTGTTAATAACATCAAATAATGATTTAATTAGTTACTAATTCAAAAACATTGAAATAAGTCTCTTCTTCTACATGTCTACATGTAGAACTTCTACCGCTTCTTCTTTGTTCTTTTTATATATTCTTGACATTGAGTGACTAGATAAGATGTTTCTACAGAGTTTTTATTTTTAAATTTTATTTTTTTAGAAGAAATAATAAAACAAGAACAACCATCCTACATAATTACTCTAAAATGAATTTTTAAAGAAGAATGACTTTATTAAATAAATTTTTAATAACACCTCTATTTCTCAATGGAAAAATAGTTATTAATTAACTTTTTTATACATAAAATAAATAAACATAATTTCTTAAAATTTTTAATATTTACATATTCATTAGTCATACATTAATTATAAATATTTATTATGAATTTAATGGTTATGAAATTTTTAAAAAAAAACAACATAAATAAATTTTTCAAAAACATTTATGCGATTTATGACCAGGAAACTATAAAAACAAAATTCTATTATAAATTGGTTTATATTTCACTGGATTGAAAATGAAAATAAAATTAACTAGACTATTAATAGATTTATTTTTGTGAATATTTCTTATTAAAAATACTAAAAAATTTAATATATTAAAAGAAGTCGTTAAAAATTCTTCTATTAAAATTTTGTTTCCTTCTTTTCAATTATTGTCGAAAATATTTTTATAAAACTTCTTGTTTTTTTTTATAATAAAACATCGTTTTGGTTGGGTAGAATTAAAATAGAAGTTGGTAGTGTGTTGGTTAAAAGAGTGGTATATAAATAGCTTTGAATCGAATATCTTTTTCAGAAAAAATCAATTGGGAACAAAACACAATAAAGATGTTACATTAGTTTCATTTGAAACTAATCCAACTCACTTCATCTTTAAAATTACTAATTAACGAAAACCATTATGGAACAAGTAAACCAAGTAACATCTAATTCAACGGAGAGTAGATGTAAAAGAGGAAATTCTATTAATGCTAGAAAAGAAAGAGAGTTTAAGAACCAGTTAGCTTTTCAACATTGTTTATTAATTGGTGTATTAAATCAATTTGCTTCAATAGTTTTAGAAAAACCTGGAAAACAATCAAAGATGACAACAACTATTCCTTTTGTATTTTCTATTATTATTGATAAAACGATTTTAAATATTAAAGATTTAGCTGAATATCAATGCAGTTTAATTAAAAAAGAAGAGATTCAGAATGGACTACCATTTAAAACAGTTAATCGAAGATATAAAAAGAATATTTCAGCTACAATTATGAATCTAGTTTATGACATTTGTTATGAACTTGGTGTTAATTTCATTTCAAAATTATCAAAACAGTCTAATAAATCAGTTCAAATTGAAAGAATAGATAAAATTTATTTAAATGAACAAGATATTATCCCAAAAGAAAATATTATGTCATTTGGTAGACAAATTAACTTATATCTTCTTTCTCTTCTTTCAAATAAGAAACAATTAGTTTTAAAAAAAGAAGATAAATCTATTCAGTCTTTACTTGAGCAATCAATATTACATTCTTCAATCAATTCTCCTTCTTCTCAGATTCCTTTAACTGTCTCATCTTCATTTTAAATCTCAACAGAAGATTTGAATCAAATTATTGTACATTTTTGATTAGTTTATTTTATTGTTTATTTTTATCATTTTTTTATTTTCTTTTAAAAATTTATTTTTATTTTTTTAATAACAAAAATTCATAAATCCGTTATTTTTATGTTTTTCAAGAAGACTAAAAATAGAATATTTAAGAAGTTTTCAATATTTTAAAAAGGGAAAAATAATTCATGTTTAAAAGATAGTTCAATATTTTAAAAATGGTTAGTTAATAGATATATCCACAATTGAATTTTATGATT